GGAGAAGGGAGATGTCGGACAGTGCAAGACATAACAAAATAATCATTTATTAATTATCAAGGGTTTGTGAGGGGGACGCAGGGAAGGAGGGGAAAATGAGGAGCTGATACCAAGGGCCCAAGTAGAAAGCAAATGTTCAAATGTTTTGAGAATGATGATGGCAACAAATGTACAAATGTGTTTGACACAATGGATGTATGGGTGGATTGTGATAAGAGTTGTACGAGCCCCCAATAAAATGATTTTTAAAAAGTATATTCTAGAGCAGTGCTACTCAAAATATTACTCAAAGACCAATCAGTGTCTGTCTGATCCCCAAAGAATTAAGAGTGTTTAAAACACCATTAGAGCTGATGAAAATATGTGGAAACTATTAGTCCAGTGGACTAAGGAGCCATACGAACATCTGCCTCCACAATCTTGAGGCCAGAAGAACTAGATAGAGCCACTAACAACTGTTCTGAAGGGATCACATTAGAAGGTCCTGCATATTGTTGGGGAAGAATGTGGAAGAGAACTGAAAAGGGACCAGGGTTACTGGTGGATGGAGACTGCTGCGACCCCCAAGACTACGGCCCCTTATCTTTCAGGTCTGGGACCCAACTCAATTCTCTGTTAAAATAACCAACCATGTACGATAGAGAAGGCAGTGTTCACCCAAAGACAGGTCAATTGGATCAGGGCTACGGCCTGAGTAAGTGTTTCAACCTGCCCTAATGCTTTTCCACTGGATGGGCTGCTCACAGCAGAGCCACTTACGGTGTTGATTACCTTGTGTTCAGGAGAGACCAGTCCCTGGAGAAGGGCATCATGCTTAGCAGAGCAGCGGGGCAGGAAGAGAAAGGCCCTTGACAAGATGGATGGACACGGTGGCTGCAAGACTGGGCTCAAACGTAATAACAATTGTGAAGCTGGTGCAGGACCGGCCGGTGTGTCATTCTGTTGTATGCCGGGTGGCTATGAGTTGGCACTGACTGGATGGCACCCGACAACAACAACAACAACAACAACAACAAAGTCATATCACGATAGATGACTAGGTCTTAACTCCCCAGTCACTGAGAATTCTGGCCCAGTCAAATGGACACGGAACTGAATCATCACAACACCTATTCATGACGGTTTAAGTTTTTAAGATCCGTATTTAAGCCGCCCCATATATGTGCTGTGATAGTTCAGTGTTATGTCCACTTGGCTGGACCAGGATTCTCATTGGTTTGGCCGTTTAGGCCTGGTAATCCTCCTTAATGGGACTTTATTGTTGTTGGGAATCCATATCTGTGCCCATTCCAAAGAAAGGTGACCCAACAACATCATTAAAATCACATGAAAGTAAAATTTTGCTGAAAATCACCCCCAAAAGGTTGTAATAGTACACTGACAGGGGGCTACTAGAGGCTCAGGCCAGATTCTGAAGAGGACGTGGAACAAGGGGTATCATTGCTGATGTCAGTGACATCATTGCTGAACAATTATGAGAATGGCACAGGACCAGACGGAGTTTCGTGGTGGGGTCACTATGGGCTAGAACCAACTGGACGGCACCTAACCACGTCACAAGGACATAGAGAACAGACTACAACTGCCCCACGGGCTCCCTGGGCTATCTTCTTTACAGAACAGATGGCTACCTCTTTCTCCTTCTGAACAGCCCGATGGGTTTGTTACCAACCCTGGCCTCACCCTATGTAGCTAAGGAACAAAGATAGAGACGATGAAAATGAAAGGGGAAAGTTTTACTTTGGTGGATCAAGGAAGTAGCAAGCTGGAACTAGAGTTGCCAAGGCAACCTCCCCCCCAAAGGGAGTTGACATTTGATGTATGTACACCAGGCTATTAGCACCGCTCGGGTGGCAAGGCTTTGTCTTCCATACTTTGGACATGTCCGGAGAAACCAGTTCCTGGGGAAGGCCCTCCTACTTGGTAAAGTGCAGGAAGGCCAGGCAAGACGGCAAGACGGAGGACCGTGGTTGCAACAATGTACTCAAACATAACAATTGTCAGGATGGCTGAGATCCGGCAGTGTTCCCTTGATCTGTTTCCAGCGCTGCTGTGAGTGGGAACTGACAACAACAGGAAGAAAAAAACCAAAATCACTACCACTACCAACAGGAAGTAAATTTAGGGCATTATATATGTAACAATTTCACTGGAAGAGTCATGAATATGCATTAGGATGAGGGTATGGTTCTTGATAGGATAAGGTTGATTGGACTCCTCGCTTTCAAAATGTCTTTCCAGTTGGCCTAGGGACATCTTTGGGTGACTTTTGGATCTTTTTTCTTAGTACTTTTGTTCTGGGGTGACCTGAAAATTGCGACTGTCCTTCCTGGGCATATTCGATGGGCCTGTTCAGGTTATAACAGATACTTACTTGCTGTGATGGGATACTTCCTGTGGAGGACAATGGCGGTTAGGAGGGAAAGTGCAGGTGATAGGAGGTACACAGTCTATATCTCATCTCTAAGGATAGGCTCCTTGGGAAAGCTGTGGAGTTACAACCTTATATAAGGAGCCCGGGTGGCATAGGTGACATGCTGGGCAGCCAACTGCAGTCCGCAGTTTGAATTCACCAGCTGCTCTGCAGGAGAAAGATGAGGCTCTCTGCTCCTGCGAAGAGTTATAGTTTCAGAAACTCACAGGGCAGGTTGACTCTGCCCAGGAGGGTGATGTGACAGGGCTAAGCAGGTTGGGGAGTGGTTTCTAGTTTGAGCACTTAACCACGGTGCACCCCAGACTCCTTAGCAGCAACATACAATACAGAAATGAATTTATGGACATTGAAATTTGTATTTCATGTACTTTTCACATGTCATAAAACATTCTTCTTAGGGTACCCCCCCACCTACTTACAAATGTGAAAACAATTCCTAGCTGTGTTGTGAGGTGCTGTAGAGTCAGTTCTGGCTCACAGCCACCCTATGTTCCACAGAATGAAATACTGCCTGGGCCTGTGCTATCTCACAATTGTTCTATGTTTGAGCCATTGTTGCAGTCACCGTGTTAATCCATTTTGTTGAAAGTCTTCCTCTTTTTCGCTATCCTTGTACTTTATCAAGTATGATGTCCTTTTCCAAGAACTGCCCCCTCCTGGTAACGTATCCCAAGTACCTGAGAGGAAGTGTTGCTATCTTTGCTTCAATGAGCATTCTGGTTGGACTTCTTCCAAGAAAGACTTGCTTGTTCTTTTGGCAGTTGATGGTACTTTCAATAGTCTTTGTCAACACCATAATTCAAATACATAATAATTCAAATGCTTAATTCAAACAAGGGTCTAAAAACAAGATGTGGGTCAAACTTGGCCCATAGGTTGTAATTTCACAACCTGTTTCATACTATCATGGCATATATCATACACTTTCCCTGTGTTGTACTTATCGCAGTAGCAATGTAAGTTTGTAAGGCCTTATGAAGAAAGGTCTGGTGATCGTTTCAAAAGAGAAAGTAAAAAACAGCAGTCACTGAAAATCCTATGAAGCACAAGTCTACTCTGATTAGAACTGACCCCACAGTAACAGATTCTACTAGTCCACTGTTCCCAGTATTTTGTCCTGAGCATGCACTCAGACAATCTGTGGGTGAAAGTTACATTGAATCAGAAGGTTAAAAAGTACTACATAGCATCGTGTCTACAGGATATGCTCAAAGAAAGACCATCAAGTAAAGTGTAAGGACTGCTATTGAGGCCAGCAGGGGTACGACTGGTATGGCCTGGTCTGCAACTTGAGTGAGGTTTTCTGTCAGAAAGAACAGGATTCTTTCAATATTGACTGATTCTTTACCTGCTTTGCTCGGGGATGCAGAAAGTGTTAATAGTAGATCTTTCTTTTTTTTTTAAGAGTAGATCTTTCATCTCAGGGTGTTCACCGTGTGATAGGAAAAACATACCCAGGCCCTGATAATTTTATAATACAGTATAAGGTGCAAACCTTTTTTGGGGTGTGTGAAACCACAGAAATGGGGGATGAACTAATAAACTTGCATCACAGGGAACCCTGGTGGGGTGGTGGTGAAGTGCTCAGCTGCTATGAGGTAGTTCTAGTCTGTCCTATGGGGTCGCTCTGAGTTGCAAACTACTTGATGGCAATGGGTAAATGCAGCACAGAACAGGTGACATTAGAGCTGAATCTTAAAGATGTGAATTCACTAGGACAGACATTTCGGAGGAACTAACTAGCCTGTACAAAGCCCTGATAAATGCAGTTGGCTCTCAAGCGTTTATATGCTTAGAATCACCGGAGGACCATTTAAGGTGCAGATTCCGGGGGCAACACGCCCTGAAACTCGGTTTCGTTAGGTGAGTGACATCCAGGGATTAGCGTTTTCCCAGGTTTCTACGGTCCACAAGCTTCTACGGGCCACACATCCACCAAACCTCCGGTGCGCCCCCAGCGCCACGGAAGTGGGACGGTGACAGAAGGGGCCAAGAAAGAGATTAGTCCATCCGGGTTCCTATCACAATAAAACTAACTCCATTTCGTCGGAGCCTTGCAACAATTCCCTATGATAAAATTGAGGCTCATTTTATAAGAGGAAATCGAAGCTCAGAGAGGGGAGACAATCTGATCAAGGTCACAAACTGGAGGTGCCAGGCTAAAATCCAGCTCAGACTTTTAGAGCTCGCGGAAGAGGAGAGAGTGGGTGGGGCTCAGGCCCTCCCTCCAGGATGGATCCAAAATGGTGGGGGCAGTGGCGTCAGCAACGCCCCCGCCCCTTCCGTCCACCTCCCTCCTTCTTCTCCCAGGCCACCCTGGCGGGGGGAGGGGAATGGAACGGAGCAGCCCACGTGACATCCGACAACTTGGCGCGTGACGCAAATCGGCGGGCCCAACGCTCGCCTAGCCTTGTGGGAAATGTAGTGCACTAGACGGTCAGATCCGCAAGGGTAGGCGGACCTAAGACTACATTTCCCAGGAAGTAGCGGGGAGACGCCGCCGTCGCCGTCGACGGCGAGCGGGGACGCGGGCCGCGCTATCGGGCGGGGGCGAGGTTCGGGCCGGTTGTGCCGTTGCGAGGCTGCAGCTGCGATCGCTGCGGTGAGCCCAGGTGAGCGAGCGTCTTCGATAGGGGGTTAGAGCGACTCGAGCAGGTCCGGTCGCTTCGTCTTCATCTTTTCTCAGCGGCAGCTAGGTCACGCTCCCCGGGAAGAAGGCCTGGCGCGGCGCGGCGCCGAGCCCCCGCGCTTGCCTCCTGGCCTCTGTGGAGCGGGCCTGGCTCCCTCCGGCTCCTCCCTCCCCGCCCCTGACGGCTTCCTCTCGCTCGGGCCCGACTCCCCGCGCTTCTGGCCGGAGCACTTCCTACCCTTCCTCCTTCCTCTCCGCGGTCTACCGGAGAGGCCTCTCCTCCCTTCCCACCCCTCTGGACACACGGACCCGTTATTTACCTTTCTCCTTTTCCTGGAATTCCTGAGTGGCCCCCTCCCCCCTCTGGAGTCCACTGGCCTGGTTTTCTCTACAGGCGCATGTGGCTGGCTGGCAGTAAATGTTAGCCCTCTTCCGTTCACTTCTGCCTTGTGGCCAAAAGAGGCATAGTCCATATTTATCTGCTGTGGGAATAATGTTGCTCCCCAGCGCCGGCTCCATGTCTATTTTAGTCTCCTGGGCTGGGGGGTGAGGCCGACTTGCATTTCAGTGGTTTCTTGGCGGCTCTTCCGCTTATACGAGGCAATTCCCTTTGCTTCGCAGCGCCTAAGCAACTTTGAGCGGCCATTCCCGGCCTTCCCAAATCTTCGGGGAGGAGCACGGCGGCCGACGCTGGCGAGCTGGTGCCCAGAAGTTGGACGCCATCAGCGCGAGTACTGTGTTTACGGGGAGGTTGCTAATTGGCTCAGAGAGGAAAATCCCCGAGGGCTTAAAAGGGGGAACGCCCGCCGCAAGCTGCTGGAGACTTGGGCCTGGCGTTGCTAGCGCTTTTGATTTGGGGTCCGGGGGCTTCACTGTCTGGTGAAAATAGCAGTAAATAGCAGTGGCCGTTTTATTGGGTGATTGGGTTATCAGATTAAGATCAGCCGAAACATGCATTATCAGGAGACCCGGTGGTGCAAAGGTTAATCCCTTGGCTGCTAACCAAAAGTTTGGCCGTTGGAATCGAACCCGTTCAGTGGTTCCGAGGGAGAAAGACCTGGCACCACCTTCCGTGAAGATCGTAACCATGAAAACTCTAGGCGCAGTACTAGAGTTAATAGGATTATTTCTCCATCGTAGACCTAGGGTGAGAAGACGTATAAATAGCATTCTCCCTTCTAGTGTTCGGTTCCTATCTTAGGAACCTACATTGTTAGTAATAAGTAGTAGCCTATATTATATAGAAATCTGTTGACCAAAATTAGCTGCTGCCATGAACAACTTTGGGTGGTTTCGTTTCCTGCTGGGACTGGCGTGCACTAAAAAAGCAAATTGTATTGCAACCATTTCGGCTTGCTTGGTTGCATTCTGTGGCAGAAGTTTTTGTAAGCAATTGTTTAATTAAACATTTTGATATCCAATATAATTCCACCTCTTCCACCCCCAAAGTTTTTTTGACACCAGTGGAAACTGGTATTGAAGACCGATGAAAACTTGTCTGCAGGCTGGGTAAGAGTCCAGTTTTAGGTTATGTCTCTCTGGTGGTGGTGGCGGTGGTGGCAGCAACAGCGGCGTCAGAAGTAGTTTTTGTTTTGTTGTAGCAGTTTGGCACTTCGCATGTATTCAGTAATTCCGTCATCGTGGTCCTTTATCATTTCTTTAACACTGTACTCATGTACTTTCTATGCTTGACTTCACCATTGAACTTAGGGCATACAAAAAGAGTGACCTTATCCTGTGCTGAGGAATTGGAGGGAGGAGATTGGAGTGTTTCTGAGGTTATTGACATGAGGAGTGAGATGGAATGGTAGCAGAAGGGGGGACAGTAGTTTAATTTTTTTTTTTTTTAATGGTGATCTCCACCAACGATCCTAGAATGCTGATTTGTGTATTTTGGGCTTAGCGACATCCCGAGTTGAGATACTGTGGCTAGTGCTGTTCTCTCAAAAAGTAGATTTTGATTGATTACATCACAAATTTATTCTAGAAGCATCTAAGGTTTTTTGGTTCCACAGCAGTGCCTTAGGGTTTACCTGTGCCTGTGCTAGGTTCTGTTAGCAGTGGGATGTGGGACAGTTAGGTTCTTTGCTTTTGGGAATTTGTAGTGTAAAAGTGATGTGGAAGTATCACTGGAAAGGGGGGAGAGCTCAGGGTGATTAGAGAGTTCTTTTTGAAGCGGACTCGATTTTGTAGGGTGTCAACATTTTAGGTGGTGGTGTGGGGGGTAATAGGCACAAACATTCAAGCCTGGGTTCTTGAATTGTATGGAATGGGGCTGTGACCAGGTGAGAAGGATGACAACTCGGTAAGCTATTAGACCAGGCTGGAGGTGGTGATGGCCTGAATTAGAGCAGGGGAATAGAGAGGTAGCCGTGGGGAGAAGCAGAGGGCTTGGAGATGTGATGCAGGTGGATGTATGGTCTCCAGAGCAGGACAGTCTTTAAAAAAATTTATTTTAATAAATTACTTTTTTGGGGGCTCTTACAGCTCTTATAACAATCCATACATCAATTGTATCAAGCACATTTGTGCATATGCTGCTGTCATTTCCAAAACATTCTCTTTATACTTGAGCCCTTGGTATCAGCTCCTCTTTTTTCTCCTCTGCCCCACCCTGCCACCCTCGTGAACCTTTGAGAGCAGGACAGTCTTGAGGTGGGCTATGAACTTGTAAAAAACATTATCAGAGGGGTTCTTTTTCTCATTAGCATCTCAGAAAATTTCCAGACCTCACTGCTTGAGTCTATAATGCAGGTGGCATAATTCATAGTAATTACCCAAAGTTTACCAGACTGTTAAACAATGTGTATAGCCTTTCTCAGAGACTGAGTTTACAAGGCAATTTCCATTTTTTAAAGAAATATGAAATGAAAAAAAAAATTAAATGCTGTAGATTAGAAATAGCCTCTTGGGTTTTTAAAAATTGTCTAGACATGAGGGGCTGATTATGCACAAATTTATGCAAATTGGTAAGAATCCAGTTTCTAAAAATTAAAAAAAAATCAATTTCTTAATGAGTTCTTCCAGTGAGTTTGGATGATCATTTCTGTTGTAGAGGCTGACAGGACCATTGTAGTGGGTGAACCGTGAAATGATTTTCTTCCTGCTTTTGTCCAAGTGTATTTTTGACCCATGAGTACTAGATGATAGTGCGTCTTGTTTTTTTTTTTTTTGAAGCATGTGGTGTGGTTCCCGGCCTGAGCCCTGCTCTACCCTAAATTCTCTATAGTACATTCTTTTTCTAGCAGAGTTTGAAGTCTGGTGGTACATGGACTGAATCCAGTCTGCAGGTGTGTTTCATTGGACTAAATTTGAACCATTGTCAGCATTTTGAAAACATTTCATATGAAGTGGGTCCAGACTGCTCTTGAAAACTTGGACCTGGCAGCAGGGCTTGTATTTATTTCTGTTTTGTGGCAGCAGTCTTCCCTAGTTTAGGAGTGGGGGTGGGGAGGTGCCCTTTCCAGTTTGCTAATGCCACAGACCCCCACCACAACCTTGACATGTGTCCCTGGCATGAGTGTGGATGCTTGTGACTTCACACTTTATGTGTCCCTTGGCTGTTGCGAACTTGCTCTCTCTCCTATTCTGGGCCTATGATACAGGTCTCTACTGCTGCCACTCAGTCAACCCTGCTCCTAGCCACCATCATTTCTGTGGTCTGCCTTTATGTCTCTTTCTTTTCCTTTGTTTTTTAAATTAAAAAAAAAAAAAGGTAGTTTTGTGAGAGGGAAGTGAAGCAGTGAAGTCAGACCCAAAATATTATCTTGTTTCTAAACTGAAGAGACCCAAGGACTGAGAAAGGATAATTGCATCGATCCGGTTTTTGCCCGGGCCTGTTAGCTGGTCTGCCCTCACGTTTGTTGTGCCTGGTTTGCCTCATAGCCTTTGATTGTTGTAATTGCACAGACAGGCTGGCCAGTCTCAAAAGGTGAAAGGCAAAGCGCAGAGACAAGTTGTTGAATGTCTGAAACGACATCTGGCTCCTGCCTTGGAACACAAGAGCTGGTTATTTCAGTATTATTTTTTAAGAATAGGCAACTTTGCTTTCTTTGTGGCTTTTTGAGGTGTTAGTCAACTTACTTTGTATCGATTTTAGTAAAAATGATAGCCTAAACTCAGGATGGAAAGGGGTAGTCGGGTGAGAGTGCTTCAGGAAGGTTTCATTTCCCTTGACTTTCCTTTATATGAGGGTTTCCTAAAAGAAGGTCCTAGTTTATCTAGAGGCAATGTTCTTGGGTTTGAGAGTAAAACTGCCTTTGACTTCCACATTGTGGGCTGTCAGAAAAGACAGAATGAAGGAGAATGGGGTTGGTGGCCCAATAGAAAAAAATAATTGGTTAAACTCTTATTAAACATGAGAAATTCTTGTTTCAGGCCTAATCCTTTATAAGCTTGGCCTTGTTCTGTATACCCTTAATTTCTTACTGCTTAGCCTTAAGAGACCAGTGTGTTAGGGGATTGTTCTATTTTGTATCTTGTTTCATGGGTATGTGTACATGAAAACATTGAATTGTCAGTACGATGTGAGCGAGATGTTGTGATTACGGTTTTTACCATGCAGTTTGGAGATAGTCTTCCATCCTCTTGACCAAAGGCACGAGGGCAGAACTCCTTTACTAGCAGTCTTCCTCTGACCCTTTCCTGATGTGCTTAATGCCGAGGTCATTAGCTTGCCTTTTAATAGGATTTGCATTGTATTTGGTTGCAGAGCATAGCATTCTGAGCTTTTTATGGGGTTCTAAAAATGCATTATATTTAAAAGCTTTATGAAATAAAGCTTGGGGTTACTCAGGGATGGTTTGTGATAATCATTGTAGTTTGGTGGTAAGTTGGTTTTGGAGCAGAGCTGAAAAACTGACTTTATGTAGACCCAGGCCTGCATATTCAGACCTCTGATTCATATGGAATGCCGCTTTAAAGATATCTAAACTGGATACAATCAGAATGGGGAAAACTTTAAAATGGGGAGGCTTTTAAGAA